CAATAAAAGCATTAGCAACCTATGCTATGGGGTTTGAGCTGAAAAGAAAAATTCCCAGAGTATTCTATTTTTATGTTTTGCAATTTGTCTTGTCACCTCCCCAACTTCATAGGTTCCGGAGGTATGAAGAAACTTTAAAGTCATCTGCTCAAGAAGTCTTAAATGCCAGTCCAAGAAAGCAGCTGATTGGCTGTATGAGAACCACGTAGGGAAGGTTTTTAAAAAACAGATATATTTCCTTTCAAATTCCAGTCTCCTCCCTCACTTCAAATCAGGATTGAGTAGGCCTAAACTCTGCAGGACACCGTGACATACGACTACGTTCGGGAAACTATTTGACCCATGTTTGAATATCTCCTATGACAGGGAACTTATCACTTCCAAAACAGCAATGTTCTATCACTAGAGTGTAAAAATGGAGTTTAAAGACGGGTTTGAATACCAGAGCTTTGCTTCTTACAAATAGTTCTATGGTCCTCTCCTTGACTTCTCACTTGTTATTACAGAAATTTTCAAACATACACAAAAGTTGAATAATATAATGAAAATCCATGTATCCATCGCCAGCTTCAACAATTATCAACATATGGCCAATCTTGTTTTATCTATAAACCCCCTAATCTCCAATACCTCACTTAACTTTATTAAAGCTACAAGAAATTTATTACATTTCATTTGTAAATTCTTCTTAAAAAATAAGAGCTCGTTTAACTAATGCAATACCATTATTACACCAAAACATTAATTCCTCAACTTCTTTACATCTCAGTTTCTGTAGTGGATTATGTCCTCCCTGAAACTCACTGAAGCTTGAATTGCGTCCCCCGAGTTTTATGTATTAGAAATTTAGTCCCCACTGTGACTGTTAAGAGGGTGGGAAATCCTATTATAGTAACTGGATGGTGGAGCCTTGAAGAGGTGATTGGATTGTAAGACCATGCTGTACTGAATGGATTAAAAATCGTGGTCAGGGGCATGGTTCTGAGGTCTTTATTTTATTTTATTTATTTATTTATTTATTTTTTTGTCCTTTTTGAAACCGGCCGCACCACGCTCAGCCAGTGAGCGCTGTGAGCGCACCAGTCAGCCCTATATAGGATCCGAACCCGTGGTGGGAGCACTGCTGCGCTCCCAGCGCCGCACTCTCCCGAGTGCGCCACGGGCTCGGCCCATGGTTCTGAGGTCTTTAAAAGAGGAGAGTCTGTCTTTTTCTCTCTGCTCTCTCTGCTTCCACCATCTTCCAATGTGAGACTCCTGGGTCACTGTCACCACCACCAGTTGAACTTTGGACTTCCCAGCTCCAGAAACTATAAGTAATAAATGTCATTTTTCTTTATAAATCACCCAGTTTCAGGTATTTTTTTTATAAGCAACATAAATGGACTAATACAGTTTCCTCAATTATAAGCAGGTATGGGTAACTCTGGTCTCACAGGATTCTTGTGAACTCTATACTGTCTCGGTGACTGTTTAAAAAAAAAAGTTTCGTTTGAACATGTACAACACAAATAAAAAACATGTAAGCTTTTGAGTTCTAAGTCCCAGACTTGGATCTTTGGACAGTAAATAATCTGTCTACCCAGAAACCTCAACTTGTTTAAGATGATAGATAACTGCAGTATACCCAGAAAGGCAGACTAAGCTCACCTGTGATAATGTTTCCCTTGGGGGATAAACAACTTTTCAACACTGCAAAGGTTAGAATTTAAGATATAGAGATAGTGAAATAAACCAAAGCCATTTATAAATATTTGCATTAACTTCAAGATGATCTATGTATTGTGGCTACAGTGCACACATTGTATGAGAGTTGTGGATGCATACATACAGAGTTGAGTTATAAAGAGCAGGACTGTTTGAAAGTGACCTGGATGCTCACTCTGGGTTGGCTGGACAATCAGGTGCTCTGCCTTCTACCAGTGGGAGGGCTGAGCCTAAGCTCAACTCCCTAAAGGCAAGGAGTTTTCTTTTCTTTGGCAGCAAGACTGCAATTTTCTGCAGCCCCCGTGTCTCCAGGTTCTAGGCAATTGCCCTTCCCAAACTGTACACAGCTGACATCTCAAATCCAGACTATATGACACCAAACACAGAATCAGTTTCTCGCATGCTTAACCTGTAAAAAGTAGACCCACAATTAGGGAGGGATCTCTCTATTAGAACACTGACAGGCCGACCCCGTGGCTCACTCGGGAGAGTGCAGGGCTGGGAGCGCTGAGACCGCGGGTTCGGATCCTAGATAGGGATGTCTGGTGCGCTCACTGGCTGAGCACGGTGCGGGTGACACCAAGGGTTACGATCCCCCTACCCGTCACAAAAAAAATAAAAAACCAAAAATAAATAAATAAATAAATATGTGATTGGTAACAAACAGAATTTAAAAAAAAAAAAAAAAAGAACACTGACTCAGGGCTGGCCAGATAGTTTAGTTGAGCTTAGTTGGTTAGAGCTTGATGTCATAAAATGAAGATCAAGGGTTCAGATCCCCTTACTGGCCAGCTGCCAAAAATAATTTAAAAAAAGAATATTGACCCAAATGTGAATCCAGCAGTGACCTGGCCTCTGAAGGACAGGAGGATCAGGGGACCAGTGCCTTTTTTTTTTTTTAATTTAGGTAAAAGTCACCATTTTAACCATGTGAAAATGTGTGATTCATTGGCTTTCAGTATATTCACAATTTTGTGCAACCATGACCACTAATCTAATTCCAAAACGTTTTCATCACCCCAAAAAGAAATCCTATACCCATTAACCAATCATGCCAAACACTAATCTGCTTTGTTGGAACTACTCTGCTTCTTCTGAACATTTCATATAAATGGAATCATACAGTAGGTGGTCTTTTGTCTCTGGTTTCTCTCACTTAGCACATAATGTTTTCAAGTTTCATCCACGTTGTAGCATGTATCAGGACTTCATTCCTTTTTGTAAGTAGTATTCCATTGTATGGATATACCACTTTTTGTTTATCCATTTATCAGTTGATGGACATTTGGGTTGTTTCCACTTTTTGGCTATTATAAATAAAGTTGCTATGAGCAACCCAATTTTTAAAATCAGCAAAGAACTTAAATAGACATTTCTCCAAAAAAAGATAAACAATGGCCGATAAACATATGAGAATATACTCAACATCATTAGTTATCAGAGAAAGGCAAATCAAAACCACAGGATTCCACTTCGCATACATTAGGATGGTTATAATTTATTTTATTTATTTATTTATTTATTTATTTATTTATTTTGTCCTTTTTGAGACCGGCTGCACTGCGCTCAGCCAGTGAGCGCACAGGCCATCCCTATATAGGAACCAAACCCGTGGCGGGAGCGCCGCTGCGCTCCCAGCGCCGCACTCTCCCGAGTGCGCCAGGGGCTCGGCCCAGGATGGTTATAATTTAAAAAATGGAAAATAACAAGTGTTGGAGAGGATGTAGAGAAACTGGAACCTTTACACATTGCCGGTGGGAATGTAAAATGGTTTAGCCACTATGGAAAACAGTTTGGAGGCTCCTTAAAAAGCTAAACATAAAGGACTGGCCTGTCAGCTCAGTTGGTTAGAGCACAGCCTTGTAACACCAAGGTCAAGGGTTCCAGCCACCATTATAAAAAGAAAAGAAAAGAAAAAAGCTAAACATAGAATTACCACGTGACTCCCCAATTCCACTCCTAGGTATCTTCCCTTTATTTTTCTTTAATGATTCTTGACTTAAAGTTTCCCCTTCTCCTTTCAAATACTTCAGGAAATGATTACTGTTATTTTGTTGTTTTGTTTTAAACACCATTTAGCATAACAAGACATGGTACACTAAGAGAAAATAGATTATACTTGAGATTCCAATTTAAAAAGGGTAATTAACTTGTGATTTTAAATTGAAAAGTATTAAGAGATTACTAAGTTTGTAAATAGTACTGAAAAGTTTAAGAGAACTTAATAAAATGTATTTCTTAGTGTGGGTTGTAGTCAAAATACATTTAGAGGGCTAGCTGGTTAGCTCAGTTGGTTAAAGCATGGTGTTGTTAACACCAAGGTCAAGGGGTTCAGATCCCCATTCTGGCCAGCTGCAAAAAAGATTTTCCTGGATTCTGGTCATGTCATCCAAAATATCCTCCATCTTTTTTTCTAAATCTTAACACCTGTTTCTTTCTCCCAAGACATCCAAAATGGCTTTTTAAAGTCAACAATTCAATATAAAACCATCCAAATTAAATAAAATTCACTCCTTCTTCCCTAAATGCTAGTCAACTCCCAATGCCATAGTAGGAGCTAGGTGCTGATCTAATTAGCTGAATGATATAATTTATACTAAGGCGAGAATGAGGCGTAAGCACTCCCAGGATCCACAGATGTTATAAGAGCAAAACAAAAATCTGCAATGTAGACTATGTCTGGAAAGGAGAAGCCTAAATACTGCTGCCTCTCTTCTGAGGGAAGACATCCTGCTCTACATACTCTACTCCTTAACTTTAATTAACCCCTTAATTTTTCCACATAGTAAGATTACATGAATTCAGCAACTATACCATACCAGCTATTATTATTCCATTCTTCACCTTAATCAAGATGAGTGTTTAAGGAGAGTCTGTTGTTAAATGGCTTTTCTCTTATCTCTCTGAGGTTATTTTTTCTTTCATTCATTCACTCATGATTAAAACAACAAAACAAAATGCATGAGAATTTCTATAATGAAGTTAAAAACCAAATTTTTCGTTTGCCTTGAAAAAATAAGAGATAGAAAAGGGAAAGAAGGGATCATATAGAATGAGAAGGCATGGAGAGACGAAAAATATCTTAAATGCCTCGCAGTAATAGCCAGATCCTTGAGTAGAGGTTTTTTTATTTGTAATCCTAGAAAAGATAATATTAATAGCAATTTTTCAACTGGCCTAATCACATTTAATCCTTTTACCATACAATCTAAGAATCAAAACACACTTGGGAGCAAAGAAAACAAGATTTATAATGAAAAATACTTCTTTGAAAAAAAAAAAAGAAAAGACTATACCTGAGATATTTGGCCCTGGACTTTTGTAAGCTGAGTTGCTCGTATATTTAAAGACTGGCTTCTTGTTACAGTTGCCCCAGAAAGGCATTTTCCATTCACCTTTCTTTCGAGGTGATAACTTGCTGGTGATCTCTCTTCAAGAAGAACAGCATCCCAAGGATCCTCTGCTAGCAAACTTTGAACATTTTTCTCTTCTTCATGGTCTAATATCTCCACATTGTCCACTTTAGGCTTACTTAGAGGATCCAAGTCTAACCAGTCAAATTTACTGATATCCTCAGCCTTTGGAGATACCTGTAGATTGCTGACTGCAGCTTTTGAATTTGTTATCTCTAAATCAGTCCTTGCTTTCCCATTTTTTAAAAATTCTGATGTACTAGCTATTTTGTCAAATAGTTTTGCCATGTCAGGACTGACTACTGGACTGACTACAGGACGATAGATAGGTAAGCTTCCTTGCGGATGAAAGGGTGTAGCAGGTGCCAAAGGATATGAAAAATATGAAGACTGTCCCGGAAGACCTAAATATATAGGTTCTGTAGATGGAAAAGGAGACATTCTCGGATTGAAGCCATTCTGGAATGCAGACTGTTTACTGTAAGTTGAAGGTATGAAAAATATGAAGACTGTCCCGGAAGACCTAAATATATAGGTTCTGTAGATGAAAAAGGAGACATTCTCGGATTGAAGCCATTCTGGAATGCAGACTGTTTACTGTAAGTTGAAGGATAAATAGAAGGTAAAGTATAAGTGGAAGGCCCAGATAATCCAGGTGGCCACTGTCCTCTCTGAATAGCAGGTCTAAGATAGAGCTGTGCTGAAAACGAAGGGCTCAGAACAGGCAATACAGGTGTTTTTCTAGTCTCAAAACTGTCATCCAGCAACAGTTTCTCAAGTTCAGCTTGGGTGAGCTTCTCTACATCAATATCTACTGCTCTTTTTTGGGAATCTGATTCAGGAAACACCATAAGATCATAATCCTGTTTGTTATAAACTTGTGCTTTTTGTCTGGTGCTGTTTGACAACTCAAAGCCTCTCTGGTTGTCAGTCACTTGTCTATCCTTTTGCAGTTTTGCTAAAGCCTCTGCTTCCATCTGTAATGCTTCTTCTTTGTCCACATCTTTTGTTCTTGTTGGTTCCAGATGTGAAGATGAACATTGTTTAAATCCATTGTTGCTGGATATCTGAGCCATGTCCACTAAGAAGACTAAACCTTCCCCAATCTATTTTTTCTTGTAGCTTCCAAAATAGCAAGACCTATACATAAAAATAAACATAACACTCGATTAGACTTTCTAAACACAAATAAATTTTATTTGCAACCTAACCCATATGGTTTAGGATTTGAAGTCACTCACAAAAATACACTACCAAATAAATAAAATAAAATGAACAGTTGGGTGAAATCTGGGTGAAGGAACACTTAATACCTTATACACAGTTGTGTTAAGGAAGCTGTTTAGACATCATGGCTTGATCCCATTTCCTGACCTAACGGTAAACGAACTTGAGAAGCTTTCACTTCAGCTATCACAATGGCTGTCATTAACCAGTGGTACTTGTGGCAGAATTCTTAGCATGAAATGACTTAAGTGCTAGTCACATATTTTCAAGAGTTCAGATAACGTTTACTTTTATGTAAATAGCAAAAGATCTCATTTTGACTTGCTATTTGTTAAATTGCTCAAGAGCCAATTAGCAATAAAAATATCCAATATCCAATCAATAAAATAAATATTATTTATCAAAATATGTAAAAAACTGATTAAGGGTTTATAATATTCTAGAAATACTAAAAATGTATAATGTAACAGATTAAAATAATAAGACAAAAGTGTTAAGGCTATAAGAAGTTGAATATTCCACTCAAAGGTTAAATTATGGCTGAATTCATCACAGTTTTTATTTATTTATTTTTTTTCCTTTTTGTCTTTTTTACTGACCCGTAACAGGATCACAACCCTTGGCGTCGCGCCCGCACCGGGGACCGGCAACGGAATCACAACCCTCGGTGTCGCGCCCGCACCGCGCTCAGCCAGTGAGCGGGAACCGGTCTCCACATGGGATCCGAACCCTCGGCGGGAGCGCCGCCGCACTCCTAACCGGGCCGGCCCTGGTTTTTATTTTTTTAATTTTTATTTATTTTTTGGCAGCTGACTGGTACTGGGATCTGAACGCTTGATCTTGGTGTTATCAACACCATGCTCTAACCAAATGAGCTAACCAGCCAGCCCCTGTCACATAGTTTTGATCACACTTCTGTTCTGATTATGTGCAGTTAAATCAATAGTTATAATACCAAAATTTTTCCTTTTCAAAAAAATATCCTTAAATATTTTTATTCATGAAAAAACTAAACGACAGTTTATTTTTTTTATTTTTTATTTTTTGTCTTTTTCGTGACTGGTAAGGGGATTACAACTCTTGGTGTGGTGTCGCCCACACCGCGCTCAGCCAGTGAGTGCACGGGCCATTCCTATATAGGATCCGAACCCGTGGCGGGAGCATCAATGGACTCCCAGCACCGCACTCTCCCGAGTGCGCCACGGGGCCGGCCCGATAGTTTATTTTTAAACCTTCCCACAGATCAGTTTATAAAAATTTACTGTATACTCCTCTATTTAAGACAAAAACTTAATTCAGACCAAGTTTACCCTATGAAGTAATATGACCAATTAAAAGGTTGGTTATCTACTGTTTAACATAGGGCACATTTCCTGCTTCTAATCAATATGATACCAGGGCTAAACATGGGTTCTGGACTCACACCACCTTGGTTTAAGAAGCTATAACCTTGGGCAAATGAAAATTTTTTTCCAGGTTAGTTTCCTAATTTTTTTTTTTTTGTCTTTTGTCTTTTTTTCCGTGTCCGGCAACGGATCGCAACCCTCAGTGTTGCTCCCGTACCGGACCGGGGACCGGCAACGGGATTGCAAACCTCGGTGTTGCTCCCGCGCCTCGCTCAGCCAGTGAGCGGGAACCGGTCTGTATGTGGGATCCGAACCCTCGGGCGGGAGCGCCGCCGCGCTTCCCAAGCAGCGCACTATCCAGTGCGCCACCGGGCCGGCCCAGTTTCCTAATTTTTTAAATGGAAAAACATCTATCCCCTAAATTATTACATGGATTAAATGAAATTATGCAACTCAAATTGCTTATCATTGGCCTTACATATAAGCATTAAACAAATGGTATCTATTATTAATCTAATCTAGGTATATCATTGATACACCTAGTTTATATACTGCGAAAGCATGATAGGCCTTCTTTACAGCCATGGTCTTTAGTTCTAGTAAATACAGTGCTTGTCTACAGTATATGCTCAATAAGTGCTTGATAAAAGGAGGTAAGGAAAAAACCAAAGCAAATTCATATTAATATAACAAATGAAAATCCTAAGTGTTGAGGTAAAACTACATAAAAAAATTATTAGTGATGAGGACATAAAGAAAGAGGTATTCAAGGAATATCCTTGGACTGTCCTTGGAGTATTACTTGGCAATTCTTTCATACAACTATAGTTTAATTCCTGAGGCATTTCACTGGAAAACTATTCCAAATTTTTCCCTTCTGTGATAAACAGCAAAACATAGGCACAATGCATACTTAATATTTGTACACTTCATTGTATGTAAACTTTATACCAAAAGAAAAAAACTGTAAACAAACATTGAATTCTTGCTAACTAAGCATGAAATACTTAGTGGAAAGTACTGATGTCTACAATTTTCTTTGAAGTGCATCCAAAAAATAAGATTAATCAATGGATGGATAGAGGGAAGACAGATAAATGTGATATGGCAAGTACAGGAAAATGTTAATAGTAAAATCTGGGTGAATGGTATATGGGTATTAACTCTGAAATTCTTTCAATGCAGCTGCCATGACTGAAAATTTTCACAATAAAATATTGGGTGGGGGAAATGGGCACAAATTCCTCCTATTCCAATATACACCCCCATTTGCAATGTGATTTTATTGCTCCTCCCATAATGAGTTTGGATCTACTTCTCCACTCTCTTGATCTGAGTGGGCCTTGTGACTGGCTTTGACCAGTAGAATGCAGAAGTGACACTGTGAGAGTTCTAAGACTAGGTCATAAGAGGCCTTACTGCTTCAGCTCTTCCTCTCTTGAAATACAGCCACTGCCATGTGAATGCTCACTAGGGATGAGAAAGAACTAGGAGACAGAAGTCCAGCCAACAGCCAGCACCAACCACCAGACATGTGAGTGAAGCCACCATCTTAGACTGTCCATCCACACTCCAGATGACCACAGCCACATGAGTGACCCAAGGCGAAACCAGCAGAAGAAACCACCCAGCTGAGCTCAAGCCAAATTGCTAACCCACAGAATCATTTTGGAATGGTTTGTTACACAGCAGTACATAACTCATAAACCTTTTCTTCTTATGTTTAGAAAACAAAACTGAAGCCACTTAACTATGTAACAACAAATTTCTGTTTTAACTTGTACCACCACCACCTTCCTTCACTAAGTCCTCAGAGAATGAACAGTTCCCTTGACCTTTCTAAGGCTAACTCTTCCACTTATATCCTTAACCCCACTTAATTCTCCTACTTCCTAATCACTGATTGCCTCCTTTGCATTGTTAATTTTTCATTTACTTGCTTCTGCTCCTCTGCCATAAAAATACTTAAGTTTTCTCCATATTAAGGGAAGAAAAATATTAACATTCCTCTTTAGACTCTAGAAGCTTCCATTTTATCACTGCCAAACTTCTCAAATGAGTGACCTAGAAAGTCCTTTCTTTACACATTCTGCATTGGAAAAACTGTACTTGTCTTTCAGGGCCCAATTACCTGAATAATGCCTCCTCTCTGAAGCTCTTCATAAGCAGCTCTTACCAGAATTTATCTTTTTAGTGTAACCAAAAATTTTTTATCACAGTTTTCTTTTTCACTTTTTGCAGACTTTTTGCTGTTTTTGCCTGCACAGCATCCTTGCTTCTGGTAGTAGAACCTATAGTTTCCTTCCTAGAGACTGCTTATCTCCCTTTTATCCCACATAGTTAAAATAGGACTGGACCATCCCTACCGACCCCCAACCACTCCAGATGATCCAAGTCTGGCCCATCAGGGTTAACCACAGGACTTGTGGCTGAAAGTATCTGGAAACTTTTCATTGAGATTGCTAAACTGATGAGATGTAAGCCTGGCTCTGTTGTGTCCATATTTGCCACCACGTGAAGAGATGCTGCCTAAGAATGAATCCAGGCCAGAAGAAAGTAGAGCTAAGATAAAATAGAGTAAGATAGATTCTGGATAATAGCACATTAAATATTTGGATCCAGCAATACCCAAGGCCCATCTTTTCATTTTTGTAAGCCAATAACTTCCTCTTTTCACTGACACCAGTTATGAGTTTCTACCATAATAACCAAAAAAAAAGTCCCAATTAACACAGAATCTGTGAACCTGTGTGTCTACCCAACAGACTAAAAACAAGCTTCTTAAGTGCAAAGGCCCACCTGTTCATTTTTTAAGTTCCCCACAACATTTAAAAGCACCTTGCTTAATAAATATGAAATTTACCGAACATGTGTTTTAACATGAGGGAATAAGGATTGTTGGACAGCCCTGAAGAAGGCATTTCAGATGGCACAAGAGTATGAATATATGGTGGGAGAAACTAGTCAAGTGCAATCATGTGTTACTCAACACCATAATATACCACCTATTTTTCACAAAGTCAGATGGATTAAAACAAAATAGCATTTTACAAAGAGATGAAGATACTTAACTGTAATTCATTTTCCACAAGCATAAGGCAAACTTGTTACTTAAGTATTCTCCTGGTTACCATATTTGGTAATGACCATAATTTTGAAAGGGGGGAATCTTGACTTTTTTAATGAGATACGGTTTAATTCACTGGCGAACACACTTGTTCTAAATATTTCAAATGAATGTTAACTCATTTACTGACAAAGGTATAAAATTAATAGTCTGAAATATATTTTGTCAGTGAATGTGGTGTTTTTTTCACATCAATTTATTTGCTTGCTCTGTCTCTAGTATCAACACCCAACATGCTAAAGTAAATTCAACTCTAAATAGTAATAGTGAGCTGTTAGCAGTTACATTATCATATCTTAGTTTTCCAAGAGGTTATCATGCATGTACGCTCAAATGGTAATAAAAAGGCTTATAAGACTGTCCGAAAGTAACTGTGTGCTTCAGCTATTTTTCTGGGGCTGCTGCACTGATGTGCTCCACTAACTTTTTAAATAAAACGT